AAAAAAAAAAAAAAAAAAAAAAAAAAAAAGATAAGAAAGAAAGAAATCTGGGCTGTAGACAAGAAATAATAATCTCAGAGTTCTCAGAGTTCTTAGCTAAACCAAAAGGATCTTAGTCTAGCCCAGAAGTATATCTTAGGGCAGCACAGAGATCCAGGGATAGGCCAAAGGGGACCCAACTTGTTGGAACAAAGTGCCATTGTCAGAGTGGGGGTCTACAGCTGGGCAAAAACGGGACTCTAGAGGACTGTGCCCTCTTTCTTTCATCGGGCAGCACATGGTAGTCATATGCCCTCCATTGGGTCTAACCACCACGCTCACATTTATGTGATAGATGGCCCTGAGGGTTCAACTGGGCCTGGGACCCATGTGCCCACTTCCTACTGGATTTCCCTTTCCCTGCCCCTGCCCTGCCAAGAGCAGATGTGGTGCAGGCCCATAGCAGCTATGAAGGGAACCTGGGGCTGCACACATGAGAAGGTAGGCAGTGGCCCTGCCCTGCTGCTACAGCTGCCACAGTCACAAGGCTAGTCAAGCAGTGACCACCTACTATGCCCCAGCCTGAGTAAAGCTCTACACACAGCTACCCTGCTAGGTGGATCCTGTTACCGTCCAATTCACAGGTTCAGAGAAGGGTCGTGACTGGCCTTAGGCCACACAGCTCATAAATTCCAGAGTGGAATCTACACCCAGGCCCTGCCTCAGCTCAGTCCCTTGCAGTCCTGCTTCTCACCCAGCAGCAGGGTAACATCATCACAACATCCTCAGCATGGCTATGCCCACACGGTACTTACCACATGCCCTGTCTCTGCTTTGGGCACTGCAGGTATGTTTATATATCTCATCCTCACAACAGCCTAGAAATAGGTACTATCATTTCCCCCACTTTACAGGGGAAGAAACTGAGACACAGAGAGGTTAAGAAGCTTGCCCAAGATCATACAGGCCATCCGCGGGTGAGGTGGGACTTGAGCCCACACTGTCAGAGCCCAGCATCCATGCTCCTCACCTCTTTGTCACACCCCATGACTGAGAGATCACTGCTCCTTTCCCAATCCCCATATCCTGGTCTTGTCTGCTCTACGTTCTGAAAGTCCTTCATCCTGTCTGCCCTGTCTCCTACCCTCTACGGTGAAGCCTGCTGCTCTTGCTCTGGGCCCAGCAAAGACCAAGGGCCATCCCTGGTTCACGTCTGGCCTGTGCCTCTCAGCAGAGGCTGCGCCCCTCCTTGGCACCCAGCCCCACCCGGCCCCACTCACTTCAGGAGGAACTTGTCAAGGCGCGAAGATGGTGCAAAGCTGCTGAGGCAGGTGGCCAGCAGCAGCCAGCCACGTGCAGCATTGTGAGCATTGTGATTGTGCCACACCTGGTTGGCCAGCTGCGCTAGGATCTCATCCCGCAGCTCAGGCGCCACCAGCCCCTTTTGCGCGATGTAGTTCCCAAAGACGTTCTCCTGGGCACCGTGCAGATGGGGGTCACCCATGAAACGCAGGACCTGGGCCACAAACAAGACTCCCATGGGCCTCTCAGAGAGCTACAAGGTCCGGTCCTTCCTTTCACTCCTGGCCTCCAGCTATCCCTCTCACCTCCTGCTCCATCTAGGCCCCAGAGGGTTTTTCTGACTTTTAGCTTTGTTTGCTTCCCTCCCACTGCAGAGCACTCCTGGGCTCCCTATACTCCCGGGGTGAAATCTGAGTTCTGGGTCAGCCACTGGGGCCTTGCTCACATCCTCCCACAGCCCTCCTGCCTGTCTTCTGACCACACTGGTTTCCTTTTCTCTCGCTGTCCAGGGCTGAGTTCGGGCCCCATTTGGATTCCCCACATCTGTGCTTCCCATTGCACAGGCTGGTGGTCACTGGCTAGGCTCAGGGAGTGTCCCTCCCCAGAGTGTCCATGAGGTGAGGAGACACTTGTGTCCCTGGAAGGCTCCAGAGAGACTCCAAGACAGTAGTTTGCTACGAAGAGGACAGGGAGAAGAAAGGCCACTAGAAGTGATTCCAGATTCCCCTACAGACATCTCTCCAAAGAAGAGAGATGGAGCTCATGAGTTGGGCTTGTGGAGAGTCTAGGAGGACAGCACTGGGGGCCTCACAGACTGGCCTCATGGCCAGGGGTCCGTACCAGCTTGAAGATGCTCACAGCCTCTGCATGGTGCTCAGCTGGCAGCCGTGTGAGGGGTGTCCTCAAGGGGGCTGTCAGCATCCCAAAGGTAGGCTCCTGGGGGCAAAGGACAGGGACAAGAGGAGGCAATGCTGGGACTGACAGGCACTGCTGGATCCCTGCCCTGTGCCAGGTGGGAGTGCAAAAAGCCCAGGAGGTAGGCTCTTGTTTGTGGTGTGTGGATAGGGACACAGGGTGAGCAAGAGCAAGCAGCAGGACACTCCTCCTGGGTCTTTGGGAGTGGGAGGAAGAAATGAGAGCAGGACAGCTTCTACGGCTTTCCAAGTCCTTCCCTTTCTGCAGTAAGTCCAGCCTGCAGAGTAAGCCATTGCCCGAGCCCTGAGACCTCCCTACACTCAGGCCCTGGCATCCCAGATGTCCATAATCCACCACTGAAGGTTCATGCTGGCACCGTGGGAGTATGCCCCCAGGGAGGACTAGGTCCCTTCTTTTTTCTTTTGCAATGTTGGATATGAAACCCATGGACTCTGTCACTAAGCCACATCCCCAGCCCACAGACAATGTCAGCTCTGATGGTGGTCTGTGCCCACGGGTCAGGTCCCCTTGTCCAGTGTCAGCCCTTACCTTGAAGTGGCATCGGACAAACTTGGCCATGGGGTAGTTGTTGATATCTAGGGGCAGTGTGACTCGGGGTTCAGTCTGGAGCCGGGGCGTCCGCACAGGGGCCACTTGAGGAGCTTTGGGCAGCCTGAGGCCTGTGGAGGGTGGAGCATGAGGTAGCTGCACCCTCATCCCTGTGCCCTTCCCGGCTGTCCAGTGCTAACACACCTGCCATTTCTTGCAAGAGCCCAGCCAGCTCAGGTGGGACCTCCAGGTGTCCCACAGCCACCACTTCACGCTTGCTCAGCTCCTGGGGGACAGTAGGTGGTGAGGGAACAGCCTGTCACACTCCCGCCTGCCAGTCTCCCTCCCTGTCCCCTGCTGCCACCCAGAGTCGCACCCACCTCCTGCTCCCGCAGCCGCACCTCCTCCACCCGGCGCCTGCGTTCTGCCCTCAGCTGCAGGAGAGCAGATGGTCAGGGCGGGATGGCAGGCAGAGGCACTGGCGGCCTAGGCAGGGCAGGCCAGGCTCACAAGGCGGCTGGCATGAGGAGGGGCAGCTTCGTGCTGCATGGAGGCCACTGCTCCTTTCAGAGAGGAGCAGAGGTGGCCAAAGTGGCCAGAAAAACAGGGAGGGGAAAGGAGAAAGCAAAAGAAAGAAGACAGCAAGGAAGAAGGACTTTCGGAAAAGACACATGAGAGACTCTGGAAAGCTCTAAGCAGCAGTAAAAGCGACATAGTCCCTCCATGCCTTGGGAGTGGCATTTGTCTTCCCGGTGGCTGGTTTATGCGACAGTGGGACAGGTCTAGCCCCAAGGTCAGGGCCAGACCACACCCAGGAATGCCCAGGTGACCAAGCTGTGACCAAGCCCAATTCCTGAAGACCCCTGATCCCAGCATCAGACAGTCCTTCCCATGCCACATCCCATCTGACCTTCTGCACCAAGCCCAAGAGGAAGATGGGAAATTGAGGCCACAGAGGGACCAACACTACCCAGCTTGTACACGGCAGAGTAGAGAATGGAGCCCAAGACTATCTAAAGCCAACAGTCTTTTCTGTAGGGCGTTAAGCGCCTCCCCTCCCTGTGGACCCCTGCACCCAGATGGTGCAGGGCCTGTACCTTGAAGTAGCGCCGGCGTTCTACATATGTGTGCACCAGGGCTCGGAACTTCACCAGACTCCTGCGCATCTGCTGGTAGCGTTGCCTGGGGGACAGGGAGTAGATCAAGGGCCAGAAGTGCCTCTGTCAGTTGGGCCTGGGAGCCAGTGCCCACGTTTCACTCTGGGACTCCTTGTCAGAAAGGGAGACTGGAGCTCAGAGAAGGGTAGTGACTTGGTAGAGGTCACAGAGCAAATTCAGTGGGAGGGTATGAATGAACCATACAGAGATCATGTACTTCCTATCGGGTTATGGTCCCCATGTCCCTGAGATGCAGGGTTGGGCCCTCTCAGCTGAATGGATTCCCACCAAATTAAGAGGGCCTGGGGATGGGCAGGAAGGACACCCAAAAGCAGAAACACCGGTACTTCGATCATTCTTCCTGCAGAGGTCCCCCTTTCAGCTTGCCTGCCAGCAGAGACAAGGAGCTTGTCTCTGAGTTCCAGCATGGCCTCTCCCAAGCCCAAGCACAGGATCTGCGGGAGTCTTGCCTTCTCTGAGCCCCACCTGGCAAGGTAGCCTCGAGCCCGGCTCTGCAGTAGGATGATCTTTCGGCGCAGGGAGTGGAAGCGCCGCTGGATGAAGAAGCCACGGAGGCAGCGTTGCAATGTGAGGGCTGCCAGGTTCAGGATGTGCTCCCGCATGCTTTCCAGCAGCTGGTGCAGATGCTCCTTAAGGAACAGCTGGGGACAGAAAGTAGGTACAGGGCGGGTAAAGAGCCAGAATCTAGACAGGGCCTTCCTGCTCCAGAGGTCCGTGAAGACAGGACAGGGTAGCTGCATGGAGCTGGGCTGGAAGAAGAGCTGAGTTCAGGGAGGTGAAAGAAAGGATGTTGGTGCCCAGGCAGAGGAAGCACGCCATGTGGCCAGCCTAGAGGAACAGCTTCCAGAACATAATTCTTATTTTAGTTTTGGTGGTACTGAGGATGGAACCCAGGGAACACTGAGCTATGCACACTCAGCTCCTTTTTGAAATTTTGAGACAGGCTCTTGCTAAGTTGCCCAGGATGGGCTTGAATTTGTGATCCTCCAGCCTCAGCCTCCTGTGTAGCTGGGATGACAGGTGTGCCGCCACGCCTGGCTAGGACAAGAATCCCTAGCCTGGATATTTCTGATTCCCCAGCCTATTGTTCAGGGTCTGTGATCTTGGGGTCTCCAAGGGCTGAGCACAGGACAGGACTCACCTTGCTGACCCCAACACGATACATGTTCGGCACGACTGTGCACAGGCGGTTCAGCACGGACACACACATGTCTCCATTAGCTGGCAGGTCGTGCTTGAGGGCCACCAGGCAGCGGTACCTGTGGGGGCCCAAACTCAGCTCAAGGTAACAAAGTCTATCCCAGGATAGACCACAGGGCTACCACCCCAGTCCTGTGTCCAGGAGGCTGGGTCCTAGTGATGGCCCTACTAAGAGTGTCCTCTAATCAGAGAATGACCCTCTGTCCTGGAGACTAATGGATGTCAGAAAATTTTAACAGGCGATTTCAGGGAAACAAGACATTTTACTGCCATCTGCTGGAAGGTAGTGATAATAACTATTAAAATCACCTCTATGGAGTCAATATAGATAAACTAAAACTGAAAAAAGGTAAAACAATAAACATATTCACCATGTAATAGCTAGCATAGGTCTTATACAGTGTTCAACCTGTACAACTGTGCATGATAAGTCCTATGCTGTCTGGATTGTGTATTCCTAGGGCCACGGAGGCTTGGGTAGGGGTCTGTGGAACTCAGGAACTACCCTGACAGAGATACCTGTCAATGAACATCTGGAAGGGGAGGCGTACTGGGAAGCCCTCCTTGCGGATCCGCACAGTCTCCAGAACCCCCGAATAGCGTAGCTGGGCCATCACCACATCTGGCTCAAAGAGACTCGGCTCCTGGAAGATGCCCAGAGAGGGAGTCTGCACCCATGGCCCATTCAGGTTCAAAGCACCGTCAGTGGCAAAATCTCTACAGGGGCTGGGCAAGTGGAGGTCTAAACAGGCCAAGCCACTTGCCCGAGGCCACACAGCACAGGGAGGGTTTTGCTCTCCCTGAAGCCTCAGCTCTCACGTACCTTCTTGTGGTTGGGCTTCAGGCAACGCACAAACAAGGGGTCACACCTGGGCAGGGGCAGTAGGAAGGCAATGTGAGACCTCAGAGAGGCGAAGCGCTCAACCACTAAAGGTCATGGGTGGACTAAAGGTGAGGCTGGTGCCCTGCCTCCCCCACCTCTCCATCTTTTCCACCAGATCCAAGAGTGACTGCTGGAACTTGGCGGCCACTGTGTGTGCCTTGTGGAGTCGGGTCATGGAGCTGCTCTTGCCCAGACGCTGAGGGGAAGCCTGCAGGGCATGGCTGGAGAAGAGGTGTGCCACCACCTGGGGAGGGTCACGGGGCGTGAAAACACGGTGACAGGCAGGGGAAACAGAGAGGTGTTAAGTGTCAAAAAAGAGATGAGGAAAGAGGGCCCGGGCTGAAGGAATCTGAGAAACAGGCCCCTTCCCTCTCTTCCATCCTTGTTTGCTTACTTCTCAAAAAAGGGGGCTCACCACCTTCCAGGGGATCTATCCCACAATGAGGGTGGTCTTTTCTCTTTCACTGACTGTGCATGGCCCTGGGGGATGGCCTGGCATATACAGGGGCTGTGAACTCTAGTTGATGACCTCAGGAGGGGGTTGCCCATTTGACAGAAGAGGAAGTGGAAGCTGGAAGGGAGGTGATGCGATCAGCCCTGTGCTCCATCTGAGGGCCATCTGCTAGCCGGTAGGGGGTGGTAATGGGGGAGCCTCCCCAAGCCTTCAGGGAACACAAATCAGGCTGCTACGCTCTCCCAGGGGCCTCAGGTCAGTGCTGGGGAGAGGCTCCAGACACACAGCACAAAACTCAGTGGGCGAGGAAGGGGTGAGCTGGGAGCAGTGAAGCTGGCCTGGGGAAATGGCCTGGCCCGGTGTGAAGCCAGACAAACAGCACTGGAGGAAAGGGGCAGGGCTGAGGCTGAGTGGAAACAGGGTGAGGGTTGGAGGTACTCAGACTGCACCAGAAGCCAGCCTCACTCACCCTTGTCCGACTCTGCACAAACAGGTCCAGCACATCCTGGCGCACCTGGTCATGGTTCTTATCTAAGAACTTGTGCACCTAGAAAAGGGGACCGGCAGGGCAGGAGGGTGGGGACAGTGCTGTACAACCAGAGGTAGGGCAGAGACATAGCCCACCCCAGGATGTGTCAGAGGCCCTTTCTGGTTCCTCCTGCTTCCTCCCTCTAGGTCAGAGGCTCCCTGGGTGATCCTGGACCTGCCCTAACCAGGCCTCCGTCTCTCCGTCTATCCCAGAACTGGACCCAACCCACATCTGTGGCCTCCCTCACTGGCTCCCCAACTCTCCTTATTCTTGGGGAAAGGGGCATCAGCCGTGGCTTCACGGGACCAATCTTGGTCCCATCTCCAGTTGCCAGACCTCCAGGGTTGGAATGCACCAGGTAATAGTGATATCACTATCAAAAGTAGCTACTTTTTACCAGATTTACCTTTGGCTTCCCATAGGCACCTCAGGAGACGGGCACTATTACCTGTATTTTCTAAAAGATGCAAACTGCAGCCTAAAGAGGTTCAGTGACTTTCCTAGTCACACAGCTAGGAGCTGGAGGACTAGAGTTAAAAGCAGGTATGTGTGGTATCCACAGTGTGCTTTCCGTTTCCAGCCTGCAGGGGAAATGCAGCCCCTGCCCCGTGCCAGCCATCTTGGGTCTCACCTGGTAGGTGACCTTGCCTGCATAGTGCTTGATGGTGAACTCAGGTAGTGGCATCTTAGGTTTGGAGTACAGTGGGTTGGTGCCATGGTGGTAGTGGCACTTCTGCAGGAATGTGTGGTCTGTGGCCTGCGGGTAGGCGGGAGTCAGAGGGTGGGTACCTCGATCCTGACCTAGTGGCAAATTCCCCAGCTCTGACTGCTCCCCTGAGAGTAGTGAAAGGAATAACTCACAGCTCTTCATGGCTGCCCATGGCCCTAGGTGGAGAAGCAAGTGCCTCAGCCAGAACTAGGAACCTAAGTGGACCCCTACAGACAAATGTGGCTGAATGAGCCTCCGACAGCCTGTGCACTCCCACTACCATCTTGCTCTTGAGTTTCACTGTCGGGATCTGAAGCCCAAATCCAAGGTAACCTCCTCCACGAAGTCCTCTTTGGCTCCTCAGGCTGGTGCAGCCTCTCCTCTAGATACCACAGACCCCCCAGTGCAGTCTCAATCACTCCAGGTTGTATATGGTAGGATAGGGGTCCCAATGCCCCTCTTCCCACTCAGGGAGTGACCCAAGGTAGGATGAGGCCTGGGATTCTCAGTGACCTCAGGAATCCAGGAGGCTCACAAACACTGCACCTCACCTGGGGAAAGCAGCACTGGTCGTCAAGGATACGCAGGATGCCGTAGGGCCTTAGTGAAATGAGGTTGATGCAGGGCTGATTGTCAGCAAAGGTGATCTCCCGCCAGTCAATCTGCTCACGGATATACTCCTCCTGCAGACAGCAGGCAAGAAAGGCTCAGCCTCACAAGCCTGACCAGGGCCCATCCAACCCACCTCCCAGGCTGGTCAGAACATCTCTGCTTGCATACTTCCTAGAACAGGGAACTCACTGCTAAACAGAGCAGCCTGAGCTGCTCTTCCTGCAAATGTCAAAAGGGCCTCCCCTGCAGGGGACCTCTCTGTAAGTGCACCCCAGCTGGTGTAAGTACACCTCCAGAACACAAGTCCCTGCCTGGAATGCCTTTTCCTGCACTTATCTCCCAGTGGCCTTGGAATTGCCCTTAGAGACCAGTATGTTCTTGTCTGTCACCAAGGAGGCCTGCTAGTCAGTAAGGATGGGAACAGGCTGTTCACAGGCTGCACACCTGCTCCTCTTGGAAGATGATCTTGTTAAAAAGGTACTGGAGGTTCTCATTGGCGTAGTTAATGCACAGCTGCTCAAAGCTGTTGAAACTCAGGTCCTGCGGGGGAGGAGGTAGTAGAGGGAGCCAGGCTAGTCCCCCTTGGCCAGCAGCCCATCTGTCCTACCTTGGGCCCTCCCTGCCTTCCATAGCAGCAGCTTCATGGAGCTGAAGCCTGCTCACAGGACCTGCTCAGACCCTATGTGGCCCCACCAGCCCCATGAGTGCCTGGCAGTTCGGGTCCTGGCAGCACAGGTAGAAGCTAAAGCTCAGGCTGTGGATAGTCTTATGTTTGGGTTTGAATCTTGCCTCTGCCACCTTCTAGCTGTGTGAACTTGGGTAGTCACCCCGTGCCTTGGTTTAGCCATCTGTGAAATGGAGGTACCAACAGTTCCAACCTTACAGGGCTATCATGAGGGTGAAGTGAATCATATAATAGGTGGTGTGTGAGTGTTATGGTTTCTATACTGTGATCCTGCCTGTCTCATCATTTCTCTACAGTGCATACAACAGCACCCCGAGCCCTGCCATATCTCTTGGCCTTTGCCGCTGCTATTCCTCCCCATAGAACACTTTTACTGCTTTCAGGAATGTCTCCTCCACTAGGAAGCCTCCCTAGACCCCAAGCCCTGCTGAGGCAGTGATTCTCTCTAGGCTCCCCTTGTGCAGGTCCGCTGGTCTCATAGCTCTAATCACGTGGGCCCTTCAGAATCTATCCCCACCCCAGCTGGGAAACTCCCCAAGGGCAAAAGCCTGATCTGTGGCTTTCTGGGGTCCCCCGTGGTGCCCAGCACAAAGCCAGGTCCTGAGACCTCTGGGACTGCTCGAAGGTTTGAGAAGGCAGAACAGGCTGGGTAGATGACCATGGGAGGGCTCTGTCATCAGCTGTGTGAGCAAAGAGAGCAGGCAGCAATGCCTCACCCTTTGTCTCCCCTACTGCCACCCACATATCCCCACCTCAAAGCCATAGATGTCCAGGATGGCAATGGACAGTGTGTCCTGCTGTGGAGATACCAGTGCATTGACCCTGGCAATCAGCCAGCCAAACAGCAGCGCGTACAAGACCTTGGCGATGGCATCCCTGGAGGTGAGAGGTAGTGCTGGGGCGGGTGGGGCACAGAGATGGGGTGTTGGGGTTTGGGGGCCCAGGCAGCGAGGAATGCAGCCTCACCTGGCATCCACAGCACTCTCCACAGTCAGGGGTGTGAAGATTTTCTCTCTCATTGTCTCCTGGGGAAGGACATGGCTTTTCAGTGGCAGCAGGCTGACCAGTACCTCCAGGAAGCCCTCAGAGGACTAGAGGTCAAGGGGTACAGGTAAGAGGGCTGGAGAGATGGTGTGACTGATCTCAACCACACAGTTGGCCAAAGGCAAGGCAGGATACCCTTTTCCCCTCTCCACCTGGCAGCGCAGGGCAGTAGGGGCCACTGGTCTAGTGAGGAGAGAGGCATTAGCAGACAGCCTTGGAAAAGGGTAAAGACCCTAAGGCTATGAAAATCTGGGCGAGGCTCTAATCCAGCCAGGCTCAGGGAAGGCTTCCAGGAGGAAGGGACACCCATGTTGGGTCTGGAAGGAGAAGCAGGCATGAAAAGAGGAAGAGCATTCTAGGTATAGGGAACAGGCTATGCAAAGGCCTGGAGGTTGGGAGCTTAACGCCTTTGGAGTCTAAGGTTAGCCTGACCTACAAGATGGACAGAGACAGAGGGAGGAGCAAGATGTAGCGGTGGCCCACAGAGGATGACACGTAGAGCAACCTGTCCAGGTTCTGGTAGGAGGCCCTGTCAGAATCTGTGCCTGCTGACTCACGGTCACTTTGAAGGTGATGGCTTTCTGCAGGCCCTCAGGGGAGATCTGCAGCAGCTCAGCCACAGCCTGGATCTCCCGGGCACTCACCACCGAGGCCACCTCCTGTGCATCTGTCTGCACAAAACAACAAGAGCATTGTGCTGTGAACTAGATAAGCTGAGCTTAAAGCGCCTATGAAAACCAGAAACAAGTTAGAATTGCCAAGAAAATTCTGCAAAAGAAACTGGGCATGGGCTGGGGATTTAGCTCAGTGGTTCCAGCGCCTGCCTCCCAAGCATAAGGGCCCAAGTTTGATCCCTAGTACCAAAGTAAATAAATAAATAAATAAATAAATAAATTCTTGTTTCTTTTTCTTGGATACATTTTTGGTGCATCAAAGATTTAAATGTTAAAAGTCCGCAAAACCATAAAATTTCTTTTAAAAAATTTTCTTAAAAAGAATTATCCGAGAGGGCTGTTATAATTTCAGAAAGGTAACTTTTGCTAAAAATGACAAAAAGTTCAAATTTTATCTAAGAAAAGATTAATCAAATGATCTGCCTAAAAGTAATATTAAAATAATCTCGTCTGGGGATTTAGCTCAGTGGTTCCACAGCCTGTCTTGAAAATGCAAAGACCAGAGTTCGATCCCCAGTACCCACCCCAAAATAATCTATATTATGGCAAAAACATAGAAATGACAAAAATTGTAAAGAAAATAAAACATAAATGACAAAACTGGAAAATATATTTGAATTTCTCAAGGTCTGATTCCGTCAAGGTATATAAAAAGGTTTCACATATCAATAAGAAAAAGTTAAACAGTTTCAAGGGGTTGGAGAACAAATACGTGTATGGTGTAACCAGGAAGGGAAGTTCAGAAATCTCAGAAAAGGCGGCCTGCGTCAGGCAGTGGGACCCCTCACCTCATACTTCTCAAAGTACACATTGCCCAGGTGGAGGATGGAGGCCAGGATGCGGAAGATGCTGTCTTGGTCCTCGCTGCTGAAGCCCAGCACCTCCATGGCAGCCAGGAGCCGGTGGAAGTCATCAGCATCGCTCTTCCCTGCGATCTCACAGTTCCCACCCTGGGCAAGAGCAGGGGCTGTGGTCAGGGATGGGCAGTATGGCTCCTCAGGCTCTTGTCCCACTCTCATGGGCCAGGAGGGTTCTGAGGGGTCTCAGGACAGGCTGCAGAGATTTCAAATGTGATGAGTAACAGGGACTTCCCCTGTTAACTTTGGTTGCAGCCTAAGGTTAATGATAATGAAACAGTGTCCTACAAGCTAGTGTTAAGTTCATTGTATGTCTCTCCTCATCTGTGTGTGTATGTGGGAGGAGGTACCTGTCTTTATTCTTTTTGTTCCCCTTTCCTCCCTCCTTCCCTCTCTTTTCATCGCTGATTTGCAAAAGATCAATCTCCCTGTTTCCTACTATCTTTTATTTTTCTCCTTAAACTATACAAGGGAACTACGATGCCTCCATTTCATAGATAAGGAAACTAAGGCACAGAGAGGTGACAAACAGCAGCCCCAGGTTGGCTAGTTCTGGTCTAGCCACTGTTCTGGGCCCTGAACATTCCTGTCCTCCTGGCAGAGATGAGATTTCTCAAATTCAAACTTGCCTTCCCCAAGCCTTCATCACCTTCACTGGACATTAGGACACCACAGCTGCGCTCCCTGGTCCAGCCCAGGGGGGCTAGAGCTTTGAATACTTGCAGGTACTCACCTGGTTCAGGTAGTAGTATGTCTCAGCTTCCTGAAGGCTGAAGGCCTGCTGCAGTTGAGCTGGCAGCCCCGCCAAGAGCTCATAGAAAATGTGGTAATTCCTCTCATTTTTGGCCTGCAGAGTGGGTGGGTGGGTGCAGAGAAGGGAGCCACCCACCTTGGTGACCCCCAGACACACAGACAGACCCAGGTATGCTCACAAACACAGACACTCACAAGGACCTGCAAGTAAGCTCAGCACCTCTGTGATGAGCAAGGGGGGCCTCAGCTTGGAGGTGGGAGTGGGGAAGCTAGATTAGTGGTGGAATTTTATTTTGTTCAGAGAAATAAGAGAAAGACAGGCTGTCCTTTCTCTGGTGTACTGGCCACACATGCCTACATATATGCCTGTGTACAGCCTGGACACACACACACACACACACACAGGTTTCCTGATTGAGCACTCAGCCGATGTGGCTGAGTGCTTTCTGTGCCCCAGCCCTGTCCTAGGTCCTCAGGACACAATGAAGAAAAGGCAGCAGGAACCCCTGATTTCCTGGTGCCCACTTGCTAGCTGCAAAGACACATTCGGCAGATCACTGGTTAAAATGTAAAATATGTCAGATGGTGAAAGGCACTCTGGAGAGAAATAAAACATTGAAGGGGTGGGAGTTCTGCTGAGGTGGAGAGGCGCTGCATTTGTAAATGGGGTGGCTTCTCTGAGCAGGGCACAAGTAGGGAGGACTGAGAGGAGGCGAGGGGCCTGGCTGTGCAGGCAACTTGGAGGAGAGTGTCCCTGGGAGGGGACACAGTAGTTGCAAAGACCCTGAGACCCAAGCATGTCTGGTCTGTTCAGGGACTGAGAGGAGCCAGCGTGGCCGTAGGGGTTGGGAGAGGGGACGTGATGAGATTACCGGCTCACGTGTGTATACATGCACCTGCTCCCACGCGTGTATTTGTTCATAATTGGACAGGTACCAGGCTGTGAGTGCCTGTCCCTCCCCATCCCACCACACCCACAGGCTGAAAGGGGTAGCGCACCTGAAACACAATCCGGGATTTCTCCAGCAGGTACTGGGAGGTTATGGCACCAGAGATCACGCCCCTGGGGTGGGGAGCATCATCAGCTCGGGAGGTGGGGGTAAGGTCTGGGGAGGGGAATGGCAGCTAGCTGGCCCTAGGGAGCTGCCCAGACAGGTGGATGACGTGCATGGCCTTTGGGACCCTCACCACAGTCCCACTCACCCTTCTAGAAAGATCTCCATGAACTTCCCGAAGCGGCTGGAGTTGTCATTCCTGACAGTTTTGGCGTTGCCGAAGGACTCCAAGAGGGGTGTTGCTTCCAGGATCTGGGCCCCAGAAGGAGAGGAGAGTTTGGAAAGCTTAGTACGTTCTGGAACTGAGGGTGGGAGGACGAGGGGACATCTCGACACAGGCTTCCCCTCTTGTTAAGAGGTGACCAGAAGGTGATTCCTTGTAGAATCCAGGGTCTCCCCAGTGACCTCTACCCCATGCTGTCCAGCTACTTTGTAGAAAGCCCAATACTATCCTCTCCCAGATCCCTGGGCCCCATATATACCATCCCCAGACCGCAAGCCCCTAGCCCCAGCCCAGGACAGGTCTCTTGGATGCCTATGGGTCCTCTTCCTATGGATGCCCCTTCCTGCCCATCCTGCCCTACCATGACAGCATGCACAAGCTTAGCGTGCATGTGCACACACACACACACCCACACACACACACGCTCCCATCCTGCCTACCATCACAGCATGCACGGACTTTGCATGCGTACACACACACACAAACACACACACACACACA